CCCCTGTACAGGGAGACAATGCAAAGCGAGTTGCAATACACATACAGCATGTCATTAATTTACAATCTGCTCGGGTTTACACAGGTGACTTAGCCAAGCCAGCCTTGTAGTCGAGCACTGAGTCAGGCTCCACATCTCGGCACGGTACATGGTCAACGGCCTTCATTGCTGGGGCTGCAGGATCTGCTGGGGCTTCTGCTGATGACTCTGCTGGGGCTTCTGCTGACAGCTCTGCTGTGGCTTCTGGAGACGGCGCTGCTGGGGCTTCCTTTGATGCCTCTGCGGGGGCTTCTGCTGACTTCTTTGATGGCTCTGCGGTGGCTTCTGCTGACGGCTCTGCTAGGGCTTCTGCTGGAGGCTCTGCTGCGGCTTCTGTTGTAGTAGGCTGGGTCTTGCCCCGGGTCTCGGGTGACACACTGGACACGGCGCTATCAAAGCAAAGGGTCCTTCTAAGTGGGTGCGGGGATTCAGCTCCCACATCTTCCAAGGCTGCTGGCTTCTCTGCTGTCGTGTGCGGCGTGCTTCCTGGCTGAGAGTCCAGGTCTACAAAGGAAGGGCACTTAGACATCGTGCCAGCAATGAGGTCAGCATTGATGAAGGGTTGCGTCTCCACTCGAGAAGGGTCATGATCACCAGCTCGGCCTAAGCCCAATCATATATGTGTGTCCACACATGCATGGCCTACATGGTTTGCTAGCGTGCACCACAATCTGCGAGACAAGGCGCATGAGTTCCGGCCAATCGAGCCAGTCGAGGCTCGCTTCTCCGCGAGGCGAGCCCTTATACGATTGCATGTGGTTGCTAAAAAAACAATCCATGCCAGCAACGGTGACACATGTCAACTGGCACACAACCTCATAATGATATCGACAAGCAGCCGGATGGCTTGCAATCGAGCAAGCTTGTCCTGGACAGCATTGTTCTTGGCCACCACAGCATCCATAGCCACCGGGACCGACTGCACAACCTGTGGAGAAGCTTTCTCCGGGACCGAATGGGCACCGAGCAATGTACCATCACCCCTGTCTGGGATCGACTGCACAACCTGATCGGGCAAGGAGGCTTCACATGAGGTTGAACCTGGGACCGGGACCGAGTCGACATCGAGCAATGTACCATCACCCTTGTCTGGGACCGACTGCAGAACCTGGTTGGGCTCCTGTGCGGGGTCCGACCCCAGCTCCAATGCTCCATCGGCCATTTCGGTATCACTTGCATCCTCACACAAAGGATAGTCATCCAAGCAACGGTTTGAAGGCAGACCACCTTCATCATCGGAATCCAAGCCTGCAAGAACCAGGTAGGCTGCTGGAGGTGGAGGGGCTATCAAAGCATCGCCAACATCAGGCGGCGCATCTTCACCTGCGTCGGCAGCAGCAGGGGCTGGGCCTGCATCAACAGGCAACTCCCCAGTTGCTCCCCATTTCTGGATCATCAGGTCCATCATTGGCTGCATCCTTGCATCCTTGCAGGGTATGTGAAGAGGCACATGTATGTTTACTTGCTTGATAACACAAGCACGGATCACAGAAGCAGCAACAGCAGTCCCTGAAGGAAGTGATGCCAGAACGGTAGCGTCTGATAGCGAGGCTGACTAACCGCTTGCATCCCCACTGGTCTACCACCACATCAACCGGGTCTGGCTGCGGCGTGAACATTTCGTGGAGCCGCTTCACCTGCAGGCTTCGACAAATCTAGATAGAACTCACAAACCTGAACGACACTCACAAAATTACGGTGAAAACTTTCAATCCAGACACCTCTTCCCTCACCCAGCGGATGGGCACAGACTTGGGCTCTCGACAAATGTCGCCCCAGACATCAATCACGATCATAATGGCGGCTCTGTTCAGAACCAAGGATGCTTGGTTTGCGGCACCAATCGTCACTCGACTGGTCCAAGCCAAAAGCTTCTTGCCGTCCCGCATCTGCCGCCTAATCAGCGGATCCTTGTCCCAGGCTTCAGCAAGATGCCCTGCAGGTGGCAACACCACCTCGATTCCATCCTCCTCCTCGCCCATTCCCGGCTCCGCTGCAGGCTCAGCAAAAGGCTCAGCCATGTGCACTTTGCACTGTACAAGCACACCGGTCACAACTCTGGCCCAAAACCGACTGCGACAAACACTTCGATGGAGGTCGTAATGCACAGCAGACAGAAAGCGAACAGCACAACAACATGAGTTCTGAATTTCCCACACATACACATGCGAGGGCACACCTCCGTCCGAGGGCACACCTCCGTCCAAAGAAGAACGGCAGCTGCCAGCACCAAGGCCACCCAGCCTGATCGATTGTCATATCCACAATCACTTTATCTCACAGTATCTGCATGCATCCGAGACACCACACACACCAAAACCAAAGCCACGACCCACGGCCTGCAGCAGGGGCCGGTACAATCTGCATGTGTATATACATGTGAATATGTGCAATGCCGCTGGCCTTCTTTGAAGATTCGGGGATCGGTGTCGTAGTGCTTGCAGGGCAGGAATCCTGACCAGCATTGTTGGAGAGTTTTAGAAACTGATGCTGCATACACTGCATGCATGTACGGATGTCGGCTTGCACTGCTGTTCTAGCCGTATATACGAGTACACTACAGCGTCCACGGGTTGGCCTTGCACTCAGGGTCGATGTGGCGCAGCGCCGAAGAGCGATCACCGGAGGCCTGGCAGGGAAGTCTTTATGAAGGCTGCTTGGTGGTTTATGGCACTTGCCTTTGTCGAGTGTTCGATGCCGAGGTCGAGGGGAATCCAAAATCGTATGCAGCGCAAAACCATTGCCTGCGAGGGGAGTATATGTAGATATAGGGTTCTCCCAAGCTTGATCAAGTGCAGGGTTAAAAGCACTATAGCTTTTCAAGTTGCAGATCTCGCACAGGCTGCATGTATCCCCCAGCTAAGCCCGGCATGTCGATCTACTTTGCATGGCCGGATCTGCAAGAGTGCCCGGCTCACCCATCAAACTCCATCAGAAGACCTTGCGAGGCACATCAATCGACGATGCATCGGCTGCACGGATCGAGCTGCGAAAAAAAATCAGCACCTCAGGGCTGGACTGTCGAATCACTCGGCTGAGCGAAGAGCTGCTTAAAGAGTAGGCAAATACCACCGAGGCGTATGTTGTGCACTATCATCTCCACAGCATCGTCAGCACAAGGAAGTTCCTCGACAATGTAATGCAGTATTACATAGCCAAGCCCCAGCCCGTGTTTCTACTTTATAAGCCGGATTGCTCTATAGAACCCCAAGCCTTCAACCGCAAGCCCTAAAACCGTCCATGTCTTCAACACTTTCAATACAACCCCAAAGCCTCCAAGCCTGCATAAGCCCATTAAAAACCCTGTAAAAGAACCATGCTCTGGACGGCTATACGGTCCTCATGGGAGTAAAGGACACGAATGCACGAGTGCCAGAACTTGTTCGGCATTTGCATGAGTCCTGCAGAAACCCCGGCTGAACACTGATCAAACAATCAACAATGCCGAAGACGAAGGGTCCTTCGGAATGGGCAAGCATCACTCCTCTCGCCGAGCAGTTGCTCACACAGGAACCAGCCATGCTCATGAGCTCTATATGGAGCTTGGACAACAAAACCAGTTCAACTTGAAACTCTTGAGCAAGGGTGCAATCAAGAAGAAAGTTTCAGGTGGCATGCCTGCACACATATCACACAGCACTGGCAGCAGAATGCAAAGGCACAGAGGCTGGGGGCGCACCTGGCCTAAAGCCATGCACAGCACATCTCGAAATGACGCTTGCTTTTCTAGCTGGTAACGTGTGCTTCAGGTTCTATAGTGTGCAGAGCACAAGATATCCATGCAGAAGTGGACTTGCAAGTCTAGATGGCAGGGCTATATAGGGTTCCATCCGGTTATGTTAGAATTGGTTAGAAGCAATATTCGGGACCTAGAGTTTTTGGCGGGGGCTAGGGCAGGGCTTGGAACTGTAAAGTCTCTGGATCTGATGTGGCCAAGATGCATGTTGCGAAAGAATGTCTGCATGAAGTGCAGAGCCAGCTCCACAGGAAATGCCTTCTCCCCCGAAGGGCTCTTGCCAAGAAACGCACTTTGTGCGAAGCAAAAACGCCATGTCCCCAAACAAGAAACGCTATGACTGCGGAGAAGAAACGCTATGATTGATGATCCGAAATTACTAGCAGACCCTAGTTAAAACAAGAAACGCAGTCGGCCGAAGGTTTCCGCAATGTCGCCCGCAAAACCTAAAATTAGCCAAACAGCAATAATTATGCATCAACAGGTTTCGTAGGTAGGGCTAGAGATGCAGGTGTAGCAGTGATATAAGCTCGAGCGGGGCTCGCTCCCGCCTTGCCAGAACCGCCGGTGCGCAAGGAAATTAAATCTCCGCAACACCGGCGACTGCAACGCATGTGTGCTCTAGGCAATGATATCCAACTGCACGGCCAAATCGCGCTTGGAAGGCAGGTCTAGTGACAGACGCTGCTTCAACCACAAGTGGTACAACGCTCGCCCCATCAACACACAGCCTTTTCCGCCGAAGTAAGGCTCAATGTCGATAGGAACATCTCTGGTAAAGCGCAACGATTGCACTGGCACGGGTACGGCCGTATGAGTTTCGGGTTAAGGGCCATGCCGCCTCGCCACGCAAAGATCAACCACGCGGCCGACTTACAGGCCAGACCGCACACCCCTGATTAACAGCAAACACAACCTTGTAGAACACGATTGCATCGGACGTAAGCCATACAGGCAAACGTCCCCAAAAACCTTGTTAAGACACCACGCAAAATCTTGAAACAAAAACCTCCTCGAAGGGGTGTGGCCCAGGGTCCCAAACCCTAAACCCCTAAACCCTAAACCCCCAAAACCTAACCCCTAAACCCCTAAACCCAACCTCCTAAACCCCTAAACCCCTGAACCCTAAACCCTAAACCCCGAAACCCCTAACCCCTAAACCCCTAAACACCTAAACCCTAACTCCCTAAACACCTAATCCCTAAATGATTTCAGACTGGGCTGCTGGGGCTGACTCGAGGCTCAGCAAAGAGGTTTCGCTGATGCGCTTGGCGCGAATCGTCTCGCCGGTTTCGCTTCCTTCAGCATTAGGGGTTTAGGGGGTTCCTTTCAAGGGTAATATAAGGGTTCCTTTAAGGGATCTATAGGGGCTTAGGGTTTTAGGGTTTATGGGTTTAGGAGGAATAGGGTTTAGGGGTTTAGGTAAAGTTCAGGGCTTGGGGTTCAGGGTTCCCGGAGCCCAAAAGCGACACACTGTAGACTCCTTAATCAACCGCTATGCCTCACATAAACATGGTCCAAAATAATCTAAAAACACTAAGAATTCGTCCTTCTCGCCGCCTTCGGATTTAGGGCATTAAGAGAACAACAGGGCTTGGAGCTCGTTGCCAACTCTTTCGGAGTTCACCCCGAACTCCGACCACCAGTTTTATCAAGGGGGCTACCCTGAGTGCTACATGTCATCTAGCCTATACTGAACTTAGAACCATGCAAAAATTAACATTTTAGCTGTTTCTTGGGGGTTATAATAACCAAAAATTTAAAAATATTTCTACGCACCCCGAAGTAGCTAAGGCTTACTGAGCTTGGCTCACAAGTTCAGAACAGGTGCAGTACTTCGAGCTTAAAGTTCGGATTCGAGCTTTGCTGCATTTTCGAGATGTCGACACAACCACTGTGCAGCTCTCCACCGTGATTTCAGGATGCCGCATCTTTCAGGGATCCATATGATATTCATATGGTGCCCCTGCATGGCTACTCGCGCACGAAGCTTCGCTGGGAGATATTCCCGAAACCCTGACAACTAAAAACTCAAGTGAAGCGCTTCCGAACGGGTTTGAAGCCGGCAAGTTCTGGATTACAGGGAACTCCAGAAAGTTTGGAATATGGTTTCATGGTAGGATCCCCTACAATTGACCTCAAAGGGGTTACGATGATCATATTCCAACTTTCTGGCTTCTACTGTAAGGCACGGAAAATCCAACACCCTCAAACCCAAATCAGCAGATCAGCAAAGGCTCTGTCTGGCTCTTGGGCTTGCGACGGCTCTTCCAGCTTCCGCAACCGGGACATGTCTGCAAAGCCATAGTCGTGCAAATAGCGATCCTCAATGGGCTTCAGGGTGATTTGTGTACCCTAGAATGCTGAACTCAGATGACAAGTCTGAAAGCACCAAAACCATAATAGAAACCGAACCCGATGACCTATTAGTGGGGAATCCTATGCATCGAGATTGAGTTTCAAGGCAGCGTATTCGTGGGGACTCACACTTCTTGAAGACTTCGGGCTTTCGGGAAGAACTTCCTTGTTCCCCAAAACTCACTACTGGGGACCATCACTATCCAGGACCGCCCAAAAACCCTGACCTCAAAGCCCTACAATTCCTGACGCCTTGAAGCCCGACAACTCTAAAACACCCGCATGTTCCTAGACCTGACAAGCCCTGGTAAGGTTTAGGGTTTATGGTTAGGGTTTAGGGTGTGACACCTTTCTTAACACTTCTGGACACCCCACAGTGTTCAGGGGTCCTCACAGTACACATCCTACCTTCCAGCTTCCATTTCAAGGCTTGCGTCTCTAGCAGATTTCTATGGCTCCTGTCCTGTAATTTGGGTTTAGGGTTTACAGTAGGCTTCTTCAGCCAGGATCTCAGGTTCTGAAGCGGGATTACCTCGAAGTCTATGGGATTTCTACCCGTCTCCCGGATCCCCAGGCTTCCTCCAGACCCTGAAGGATCATTACATGAGGCACGCTGCTTAAGCTAAGATCACCAGCAAGGAGCCCAAGCGCTGAATGCCAAAATCTGGGTAAAAGTGTTTGTTTTTTTGTTTTTTTGTGTGTGTTTTTTTGCTGCGTGTGCGCGGCGCGTTTTGATTTTTGCAGCGGGCGCGGGGCGCGTTTCTTTTGGGCTGCGGGTTCACGAGCTCACTCACTCACTCGCTGCCCGCCGCCCGGAGCACCCGCAGCAAAAAAACACCCACAACAAAAAAAACACGCGGGTTCCCTAAAATCACCGGTCAACCCTAATGTGGAACTTGCTTAAGAAACCTTGGCCCTGTAAACCCTGCAGGATATTAGGATTCATATAGGGAGCCCTACTAAGGAGCCAGGGTTTCTTACTCAGGTTCCTACATTAAGCGGCTTAATGAACTCATAAGCAGGCCTGAGCCATTTATATGTTATGTCTTTGGGATTGTTTAGGGTTTGGGGCTTTGGGTTATCATGAGCAAATGAGAAAGCACAGACACATAATGCTACCAGTTGGTCGCACACGTCTGTATCAAACCTTATCAACCCCATAAAACCCTGAGGGAACCATGCACCTCTGAAACCATGTCAAATTTCATCAACCCTTCATAGACCCTCCATCGACCCTCTGTTAGACCCGAAGTGCCTCTAATTTGGGACGATCCCTTAATTGAGGCACAAGGAGGGTACTGGCTGTCAACACAAACATAACAAACCTTAAACCCCCTAAACCCTAAATCCCAACCCCTAAACCGAAAAAAACCCTCAAACCCTAAAGCCCCCAAACCCCAAGCTATCAAATCTTGAACCCCAGGTCTCGAGGCTCCACTTTTAAAGCCGCGGCTCGATCTGATCGGCAGATTTAGATTTGCCTGTCAGGAAGTGCTGTTTCTGTGAAGACTTGGGGCTACTTAAAGGATCATGGGACTTAGTAACTAGGGTTATACTTTAAAGGGCTCCTTTAAAGGGGATCTATAGGGGTTCTAGTATAAGAGGGATTTATAGGGTCTACTGAAAGGATCATGGGACTTAGTAATTAGGGTTATAATCAGGGTAACTATACTTATAACCCCAATTGAGGTACTTCTAATCTTACTTACTAAGTCCCATGATCTTCCAAGTAGGGGCCTAGAAGGGGCTTTGTAAATTTTACTTAAGGTTCAGGGCTTCACAGATTTGAGGGTGAGGGCTTGCGCTTTGTGTGTGCTGTGTGCTTTGGGACTTTAGCGCTTGGGGGTTTTATCCGGTGCCGTCTAAAGCAAAACCTGCAAACCCTCATTAACATGCCAGTGGCCGCTGGTTCCGCCTGGGCCTGGTTTCCGGTGAACTGCTTTAGTCTGCAATCCCTCCTCGATGACTATTTACAGCTAGGTTTCCCAGCAGCCCCTTAATAATAAGGATAGTCGTCTTCCTACTATCCGGTTTGAATCAGTGACCCGATCCTCGTTGTAACGGCCCCTATGTAAGGACCCTAAACCCACAAACCCCTAAACTCCTAAAACCTTGCCCCTAAATTATCCTGAAACCTAAACCCCACAACCCTACACCCAAAAACCCCCAAAACCCCGAAACTCCACACCACTCAACCCCGGCCTAGACCAGGTTTCAACTTGGCCTCCGCCTCCTTCGGCGGCCTCGCGCAGAGCCCTACACGGTACCTTAAGCCACCATACCCTGCTATTCTGTAGTTTCTATTGTAAACCCTAGTATGGAATGCATAGGGGCCTTACAAAAAAGCAGTTTTGGTAGGTTAAGGTACACCCCCAAAGCCCTTTCAACGGAGCTTCAGACTTTCATGCAGCACGCCACGACCTTCTGCCCCTGAATTCAAACCCGGGCTTCCTGCAACAGAACAAGGACCCTCCTTGGATCATCAAATAGTGGTATATGTTAGAAGCTGGCCCCCACCCTGTAATAGTGACGATAAGGGTCAAAATAGGGCCCTATTATATTCCTATTATACCACTATTACAGGGTGGGGGCCCCTTCAGGTATTCAAGGTCTAATAGAGCCAGATTCCTGGGCAGGCCCTTATTAACAAGGGTACCCATTCTCCTACTACAAGACACTGGACAAAAAAGGGCACTACACAGACACCTAGAGAGGGTACATGGAGGGTCTAGGAAAGTGAAGTGCGTGAGCATCACAGGACTTAGTAAGCAATATAGGGACCTTAATCGTTAGAATAGGGTTCCTTTTGACGAGTCTATAAGAGGATTACTACGAAGGTTCCTATAAGGGTTTAGAATAGGAGCCTTAATAATTAGAATAGGGTTTGGGTGTAATTTTATTATACTAGACATAGTCTTGGAAATTATTTAAGCCCCTACATTAGCAATCATTAGCACGTATTTTGCTACGTTTGATTGAAGCCGTTACAGCAAAGACTCACGAACCCAAGATCCTGACAAACACCCTACTCCGAAAAGCCATACAGAACCCTTTCAATCACCACAAACCCCCACTAGAGCTCGACACACATAAGAAGACTTGCCCCATAAACCCTAAACCCTTAAACCCCAAAGCCCTTAAACCCTTCAACCGCCAACGAACCCTTGAAAGCAACCCGTAAAAAGGAATCCTTAAGGGAACCCCTAAAAGCGGAGCGCTTAAAGGAACCCTTCAAACCCAGCCCGTAAAAGGGACCCTTTCCCTCCTTCGCAACCCTAAACAGGAACATGATATTGGTCAAAGGGGAAGAGGAGGGACCCTTAATAGGGACCCCTACCCTATAACGGGCTATATAATGGGTATATAATAGCTATATTAAGGGTCTATACCTAGGGGTCCTGGTCCTTATTAAGGGTCCCTCCTTTTCCCCTTAGAATTGGGGATTAATCCCGGGACTATAGTATAGGGATCCATTCCCCCATTCCCTACTCAGCACCAGACAGAGGAACCCTAAGTCAACCCGTAAAAGGAACCCTAAGACCCGTAACCCTAAAGCCCTAACGCCCTAAAGCCCTAAACCCAAAGCCCTTCAAAGGAACCCTAAGACCCATAACCCTAAACCCTGAAGCGCCAAAGCCCTAAACCCAAAGCCAAAGCCCTCAAAAGGAACCCTAAGACCCATAACCCTAAACCCTAAAGCCCTAAGCGCAAAGCCCTGAAAAAGGAACCTTAGAACGGATTGCTTAAAATTTTAAACAGAACCCTAGAACAGAGCCCTTAAAGGGAGCCCTAGGACAGCGGCCTCCAGGTGTCGTGCTCGTGGAGCGCCTCCACGGCTGCTCCCACATCCCAAGACCTGGCGCAGACCGACGCTTTAACCTGGGGTTTTGGGTTTAGGGTTTTAGGGTTTAGGGTAGTAGGGTTTGGGGTTTAGGGTATTAGGGGTCTATAAGGGTTACTATAACTAAGATACCCAGTAACCTAAGAATAAAAAGGCCTCTCTTTTTGGTATTGGGTAACTTTATAAGGAACCTAGGACTACAAAAAGGGAATAAGGGATCTATAAGGGTTACTATAAGGGATCTATAAGGGTACTATAACATAGGGGCCTGAATAATCCTATCACTTACCTTTGGTTAGTAGGGAATGGCGCCCCCCCCCCCCCCCCCCGACGCTTTAAGGGGCGTTCAAGGGGAGGGTACTATCAGAAGGGTTTAGGGTTTAGGGTTTAGGGATTATCTTACCTTTGAGACAAAGGGGAAAAGGAGGGACCCTTAATGGGACCCCTACCCTATAATGGGCTGTATTCTGGGTATATAATATTAAGGCTCTATACCTAGGGGTCCTTATTAAGGGCTTTCAAGGGGGGGTACTGTCAGGGTTCCTTTAAGGGATGTATAAGGGCTCCTTTAAGGGATCTATATACTATCAGGGTTCCTTTAAGGGATGTATAAGGGTTCCTTTAAGGGATCTATATACTATCAAGGTTTCTTTAAGGGATCTATAAGGGTTCCGTTAAGGGCTCTATACAGGCTTTAGGGTCCAGGGTTTAGGGCTTCGCAGGGTTGAGGGTTAGGGCTTTAAAGGGTTTAGGGCTTAGGGCTTAAAGGGGTTGAGGGTTTAAGGCTTAAAAGGGTTTAAGGTTTAGGGCTGCAAGGGTTGAGGGTTTAGGGCTTGAAAGGGTTTAGGGCTTGAAAGGGTTTAGGGTTTAGAGTTTAGGGGTGTCTCATAGGGATTATGGGGCCTGGGATTGGGATTATCGGGTCCAGGATTTAAGGATCCATTCAGATTTCGGGAATCTACAAGGCTTACATGGGTGGTTGTCAAAATTATGTCCCCTTTTTGGGTACCCTAAATATTAAGTGCGTGTCTAATCGGGATTACAGAGCTTAAAGGGCTGGTAAGGTGCTTGACGGGGTTTGGGAAGCTTCCCAAATCGGCTTTCTGGATAGAAACTAAGGATTTGGGGCTCCGGGTACTAGGGTTGACGAGTGCCGAATATCAGGTGCCTTTGCGGTTCCAGACTTGGGTTTTGGGGTTCAGGGATGTAGCGGTTGATGATATTGGGGCTTTCAGGGTTCGGAGCTTCGGGGGTCGAGGGTTCGAAGCTCCAGCGGGTGATTTGAGGCTTGCGGGCCTTTGGAGTTTGCTGATAGGTTCATGGGTAGCTATATGTGGGGTTCTAAGCAAGGCAACCGTCATGAAAACCCATATTTCGGTGACTTATAACCCCACTTCAAACTACCCATGAACCTCCAAGTAGATTTTGGCAGGATTTCTGGTCCGATACTCAAGTCTCCAGCGTGAGGATCCCCAGGCCGAAGACTCCACCGTAGTTCCCTTATGTACTTACAGGATCATGGGGCTTAGTAACTAGGGTTATACTCTAAAGGGCCCCTTTAGAGGGGATCTATAGGGGATCTATACAAGAGGGGTTTATAGGGTCTACTTAAAGGATCATGGGACTTAGTAACTAGGGTTATAATCAGGGTAACTATACTTATAACCCCAGTTAAGGTACTTATAACCTTACTTACTGAGTCCCATGATCCTCCAAGTAGGGTTAATCCCTTTTGTGTTGTAGCATCCTAGCTATACAGTTGGATAACCCAGAGAAGAAACTACACACGATGGAGACTATAGGCATGCCTCTATCATTTTTACCACGGGCATGGCACATTATGTCAGATTCGCCTGTTAGAACAGCATCTCCACCATGGGACGACGTGGGTCTCTTGAAAAGACCTACTCTAGCAGCTTTCGCTTCGGCTTCCCGGGACTTTCCATCTGAGGTATTAGGGTTAGGGTTACGACACTTCTCTATATTCGGGTCCCTACCCACGTCCAAAATCCAAACAAACCTTCAACCTCAAACTTTTTAAACCCAGCCCCCAAAATCACAAAGCCTGCAAACAGCAGGCCCCACCGAGTAAGGAGGAACGATCGGCTACTGTAGGAGCTAATAATCAGAATCAGGTACGGGTGTATACTTTGGTATGACTGAAAGAAGGAAGGAATAACATATCGGCCTCTGTGTTTTCGAGGTTGCGGTCGTTCCCAGAGGAGGCAAGCGGATGAGCCTCATTGAGGTTTAAGACTTCGCAGCATACAGTTTAGGGCTCTAGGTTGGGAGAAAGCACGTTTCCTAATGTAGACTCTAAACATGAGCGAGGCGCCGAAATACGGGATCTAACCCCGCTTACAGTAAACCCCAAAAAGTTGGAAACCTGATCAGGGCCAAATACTGCTGGGGCCCCTTATGCGTTACTCTTAAGGGTTGAGGCTGTTGGGCTTCCAACTTTTGGACTTCTACTGTAGAACTACTCATGAACCTCCCAAGTAGGGAACACGCTACAGCCGGTGCCTCGGAAGGGCTGCAGACTGCGAGAGATCGCTGAAGTTCACTGGCGCAAGCTAAACTCCAAGGGTAGAAGGAGGGATCCTTAATAAGGACCCCTAGGTATATATCCTTCATATAGCTATTATATACCCACTATATAGCCCATTATAGGGTAGTCCTTATTAAGCGTCCCTCCTTGTCCCCTTATTGATTAAGAAACCTTGGGCCTTTATTAGGGTTCCTTATATGAATCCGAATGTATAGGGGGTTGTAGGGACAGGGTTTCTTAATCAGGTTCCTACATTCGATTTAAAGACTACCCAGCAATGCCCCAACCCCAACCCCGCAGCTTCCATTTGATGAGGGGTTTAGGGTTTAGGGGTTTAGCTGTTTTTGTTCAGGGTTTAGGGATTAGGGTTTAGGGTTTAGGGGTTTAACTGTTTTTGTTCAGGGTTTAGGGTTTAGGGGTTTAGGGGTTTAGGGTTTAGGGCTTAAATACCTCAAAGCCTGAACCTATCTGATCCTGGCCCGGGCGGCTGTGTGAGAAGATGTCGCTGCTCTGCGAAGCTCTCCTTGACCATGGTCCGGAACTCCTGGTATCAGCGCTTCCAGGTGCTGTGAGGAATACTAGAAGGGTTAGAGGGTCACTATAGAAGCCTAGTAAGTAAGGCTGTAAGAACTCCAACTCAGGTTACAAGTAATTCAAACTAGAGCTGCCTACGTACCTGGAAAAACCCTACTTACCAGCTCACTCGAGCCTTTAAGTTAGGGTACTGTATCGGGCCTGATTTCAGGGTTTCGGGTACTTGCACTCATAGTGTCGACACAAAAACCTATGTGCTAGGTTTACTGCACTACTGGTAGACAGCGCAAGGACACGCCAATGGTTGCCGATGGCTTAGGTACGCAGCTCTGCACGTGCCCCCACACACCCACACACATCTGGAAATCCTCCACATCACGCCACTTTTCAGAATCGATTTCCCAGCAAAGTCCTTGATCTCATGGTGGAGATCCCTCGCGGACCTCGACAGAACCATTCTACACCAAAAGGCACAAGACAAGGTCGAGTGGGTACCAGAACAACTTCTGGCGCCAGCATACAGGTTCAAGAGGCATTCGGGTTGAGGCTGGTCCAGTTTACTAGGTAGGAGAGCTGCACCAAATGCCCCAAACCTCTCCTTAGCCCTAAACCCTAAATCCTACAAGCCCTAAACCCAAACCTCTCCTAAACCCTAAACGCGAAATCCTCAGCCCGAACCCCTCCTAAACGGCCCTTGAACCACCGCCAACTCAACGGTTTCGAGGACCAAGGCGCTCGTGGCCTTCGTCACTGGCAGGCACTAGCACATTGACCTCAAAGTCAGAGAGCCCAATATCCCTTAATTAAGGAATGTAGCTTTAAATCATAAATGCTCAATTAAGGAGTAGTGAGCTCTCTGGCTCGGAAGCAGACACTGCGAGACATTTGTGACGGTTAAGGGGGAAAATGTCTGAATCGTCGTTTTGGGATTAAGAGTTAAAGTCTAGGGGAAAAATTTGAATCGCCGCATTCGGAGCTTTGGGAAACAATCAACGGTCATACAACGACAACAGGGTCGCCTTGACACGTGGCAGCATTAGCATATCCTGGTACGGAAGCAGGCAAACCCCAAACCCTAAACCCTAAAGCACAAGGAAACAGCTCAATGCAGGCAAACGCCGGTTCGCACCAGACGTACTCCAAATGCACGGTTTCCAATGGCATTAAGGTTTAGGGTTACGGTTCAGGTTTAGGGTTTAGGGTTTAGGGTTACAGCAGATAAATTCACCAAACTAGGCTGAAGATGACGCGAGGAAGCGCCAACTGAGCAATGCCTGACATACACCCGAACCCATCGGGTACCTCATGCAACAAACTATCCTAAACGCTAAAATCTCAACCCTGGCCCTAAACCCTAAGGAGCTAAACCATAAACCCTAAAGCCCCAAACTCTCAACCACAAACGCTAAGCCCTAAGTTCAGGCAGAGCTCTTCTGCCGGGTCCATCTCGATCGGGCACTGAGGCGCGCTCGAAAGAACTTTTTCGGACCACTCTGGCATTCAAGCGGTCTTGAAGTATCTTAGAAGATGCATGCTGTTGGGTTAGTCCTACTGTTGCTAGTGTGAACCATCTTCTTCTGGCCCAAGCAAGCCACATGGGTCCGGTCCATAGTAGTGTTTCTACGCTTGACCGGGAAGCAGGGGCGACAAAACTCCATAAAAGTCGCTTTTGGTGCCAATGAAGACTTCCTGCTTGTGTCGGTTGACTCCAAGGCCTGAAGTTCTTTTCCTGTGGGGCCGCTTCCCTTTAAACTTGAAGAACGCGGCTGCGACGGACAGGCAGTAGGCTTGGAGTCTGGGTTCTACGTGTGCAAGCTTTGGGGTCTCTTCACGTGTTAATGATGTTGGCACTATCACAACAATGGAAATACTTAATGACTTAATAATTACCAATAAAAAATGGCTGTGAAGAAGATTGGTACTAACCATATTATTAGACTATGCCCCCGAGCCAGGCCTAAGATGAGCGCAGGGTTTTGGGGCTTGGGTTTGAGCATCCCAGGATTTGGGAGGTAGGAGGCGATCCCGGGTTCGAGTAAATAAACAAAGCTCCTAATACAGGGTTCCTTTGAAAGGGCTCTTTTTTAAGGGATCCACTTCGAAAGGGTCTTTGAGGGTTATTAAGTATACTGTAAGGGTTTTTGGTTTAGTATAGGAAACTTGAGAATGAGAATAGGGTTCTCGGGTATATTTATACTAGAACCATTCTACAAGGAACCCGACGGAATAGTTTCGGTAATTATCCAGACGTCTACATTAGGCACTGCAAAGGCTTATGCTAGGATCTCGTAGTTAGCCGATCAAGGCAGAGGAAACAATGAAGCACAATTTAGCTAAGCTAAACCCTAATTTAGGGTTTTGGGGTTTAGGGTTTAAGGTTTAGGTGTTTAGGGTTTAGGGGTTTAGGTGATTAGGGTTTTGGGGTTTAGGCGTTTCGGGGTTTAGGGTTTAGGGCAACCCTAGACTTTCAGAGCTCCAGGTTGAATGTCGTGCCATTCTTCCATGTTGTTAAAACAGGGTTTCCGAATCCTGACTGGAACGGATAATCAACCTCATTGAGCTAGAGTGTGAACGTTTCTCTTCGTGCGTACATCAATTTCTACCAATGACCTCTTTACGACCAGAAAGTACTGATAGTAACAACAACGCTACATCACATGTATGTAGGTGACGGGGCATGTGATTGCCATCTCTCTCTCTCTCTCTCTCTCTACACACACACTCTCTCTCTCTCTATATATGTATCTATAACGTATATATATATATATATATATATATATATGTATGTGTATATATATATATATATACAAATGCAAACCTACATACATATACAAATATTATCATACATGAACTATGTTGACTGTATATAAGGTAGGCAACATGCATATACACGAGCGCACTGTCGCGTACATGTGGTATCACCATTCACGGATGTGCATGCATTTGTGCGCAAAATGCAGGGGTACCGGAGTGCAGCAAGCCCTAGACCCAAAGGGTCCAAGTACCATTATCGTACGTACTTGGGCCTCGAAAGTATATACTCTACCGTTACTTGGACCCTTTGGGAGATATATCCGACATTTCAGAACGAAGGGCTGTGGCACAGGCCGGCTGTCGAGCTGAAGAATTGTGAGGCTTAGGTTTGCAAGGGTCCGAATGTACATGACTGAGGGAGCAGACTTTTGGGGTATGTCATAGTACAATCTGGCCAAAAACTGCCAAGAAACCTTGAGGAATGGCTAGGTATCCGTACAATCCTACAGCAAACAAACGTTATGAAACATGCGCCGGGAAGCCTTTGTTTTGCCGCTCGGTGGCAACAGTCCAGAGAGCAAAGGGAAGGCACCGCTTTGCGGGACCTGCCTGAACTCCAAACGCAAAGTGCTGAGATCTGGATCTTCTTCTCAGGGACGGGATTTGTGGCTTTGATACATCAAGACTTCTACTATGATCCTAGGCCCTAAACCATGAAGCTTACAGGGCTGCGCTGACTTAGATATCCCCAAACCCTGGAAACTTATAGGGTTTGGGAGCTGGGCTTGGTTCCGAAACTCGTCCAGCTCTCGAGGGCACGCAGGGGAAAAGCTAGCTACTGCCAACCCAAACCCAAAGCCCTACAAGGCTTAGAGTTTATAGGGCTTAAGGTAATACTGGATCCTAAACCCTAAACCCGAAACCCTAAGTGCCGGGTATTGGGTTATCTTACGCGGCATCGCAGGCGGCTCACCTGTTCGGGCCGCCCTTGAAACCTCGGGCAGCTCATGCGAAGTCAGTCAGAGTATACCATAAGACCGTCTTTCAGGGTTCCATCATGGCGCTACTTTAAGGGTTCTACTTGGAGGTTCATGGGTAGTTCTAAGTGGGGTTATAGGTAAGGATACCAGAATCCTAATCCATATTCGGTGACTTATAACACCACGTATCATTACCCCTGAATCAATGAACCAAGCAAGGGTCATGTAACAGGGATCTTGAAGCCCTTGACCAGGGGCTTGATTAATGCGGCATGTACGGCGGTTGGAATGTTAAGCACAGAATCTCAAAGGCAACGCATGCTTAGACTCCTACTGCTACGAAATCTGCATGCATCCCCTTCGTGTCCTCCTGGGGTTTACGCCTAAACCCTAAACCCCTAAACCCTAAACCCCCTAAGCCCTAAACCCCCTAAACCCCCTAAACCCTAAGCTAAGGAACCCGAGAGTGCCTTTAAATGGAACCCTAAAGACCCCCTAAAATCAAAACCCAATGCTCGCGGCAAAATGTCCTAAGCAGACTCGCTGCCAGTCGTGGCTCGTTGCAGCGATAATCCCTAGCCATAATAGAGGGGCCTCAATAATTGGAATATAGGGTTCCTTTCAAGGGCACTATAGGGGTCTATACGGGCTACTTTAAGGGATACTATAAGGTATCATAAAATAGCGGCACAATAACTGGAATAGGGTTCCCTTCAAAGGGGTCCGTAGGGGCTACTATAAGGGATCTATTTGAAGGGATCATAGGGTTCTATGGTATAGGGGCCTCAATAATAGGGTTTTGGGGCCCATTGCAATAGAGATATGATAAGGAACCACCAAAATAGTATCGGAAATTATTTAGGCCCCCAAAATAAAACCCGATTATTATAGATCCCTTATAGAGCCCTTTAAAAGATCCTTTTGAAAGGAACCCTATAATTTATTTCGGCCCCTATATTAATCCTGCAACTAGGTGAGGCCTTACTGGCTTCTTGAGATCAGAGGAACCAACTCCCCGAAGCTACAATACTATGACTAAAATTTTAAAGCAAGGACTACTATACTATAAACACTATACTGAGGTATATTATGCTACAGTTTAATGGGGCTTCTTGAGATCAAAGGCTTGGGCGCTCGTCCCAAAAAAGGGGTTTAGGGCTGAGGGTTGGGGGCTTAGGGTTTAGGTTTAGAGCTGAGGGTGTAGTGTTTTGTAGGGCTTGGGGAAGCAATCACCAAAGCCTTGACCAACTTTGCGAAACTTCTTTACTATAGTTATAATGGGGTATACTGTCACTGTAGTAAAATATACATTATCATAGTTTTTATGGTATAGTATACTATACGGTCTTCTATCCTATAATAACTATGATAATGTATATTTTACTATAGTGAAACTATGGTATACTATATAGACCAAGCCGCCTGAAGTGAAGTGAGCCTCGCGCGCAAACCTGGCAGAATCTTGGACCGTGCTGCGGAAGCGAGGCACACGAAATGGAACACCCGAGCACCTTGTACCGGAATGGCTCGTTGCATCCACTCTCTATCCAACACATGGTAGTCCCGAAAATGGGGGACCCTAATATAATAGTAGGATCCTCATTTTAAGGACCCTCAAATACGGTACCCCATATTTTCCGAAACTCTCATATAATCTCTAAGTCCCAAACGTTTGTGGGTGCCAAGGGTTCCTGAATTTTCCTAGCCTCCTCCGATTGTTTAGGATGTCCTTGCATCCCACTAACATAACAAAGTAGGCTCCTACTGTAACTGAAAATCCTGCAAGACATGCTGAAATGTGGCAGAACATGATGACCCAACAAGAACCTGTTCAAAACCGTAAACCCTAACCCTAAACACCTGCTTACACCAACTGCAGCAACATCGTAGACCCCACAACCTCCAACCCAGCAGCTGACTCAAACCCTTGACCGCCGCACAACAGAAAATCGATCGTGCCCCATAAATTATATAAGGGTTTAGGGCTTAGGATTTAGGGACCACCCTACACCCTATATAATGCCTACAAGTCCTAGGCCGTATAAGCCGAAACCCCTAAGCCCAACAAACCCTAAGCCCTAATTACCAGCCGCAAAATCCCCATAAGTCCTCAGACACCCTAAACATGGTCTAGGGTGCATTGGTTTACATCCTATAATTAAACCCAATAGACTCTACTTGGAGGATCATGGACTTAGTAAGTAAGGTTGTTAAGTACGTTATTTGGGGTTACAAGTATAGTTACCCTAATTGTAACCCGAGTTACTAAGTCCCATGATCCTTTCAGTAGACCCTATCCCTCTTATAATAGAACCCCTATAGATCCCCTGAAAAGGAGCCCTTTAAGGAACCCTAGTTACTGAGTCCCATGATCCTTTAAGTAGGCCCGTACCGAAGCCTCGCTGAACGAAGGGGCGACGAGGGCGTGAAGGACCAGCCGCCCGGGCGGTCATCCTCCTGGGGCGCTTAAAGGGGCTTAAGGCCTATAGGTTTTAGGGTTGAGAGTTTAGGGTTTTGAGGATTTTTGTCTGGTGGTCGAGGGGTTGGGGCTAAGAGTTTAAGCGTGTTAAGGGTTTTTTAGCAGGTTCATAGGGGTTTATACGGGTTGATGCGGCTTATGGTGTATCTCTGGCTACTAGGGGGGGGCCAACAGGGATTCGTGACGTTTATAAGGCTTTTAGGGCTGATGGGGCTTGCAGGAGGCGTTGGCGCTTTCGGGTTTCAGTGCGGTTTTGGAGTGCATGTGGATTCAGGGTTGAGGATTCA